ATTTGTTGTGGTGTGGAATGGGGTCATGACCCCACATGGTCAGCGGGGTCAAATCAAACAGCGGCATCGAGCTCAAGGAGGTCATTAAAGAGACAGAGAGTCCTGATGGGGAGAAGCTGACCGGGGGATGCTGTTAACCCCTTCCCCTGCCTTCCCCGCTGAAACGAGCGAAAGCAATGAGAAAGGAAATGTAGTGGAGGAGAAGAGATGAGAGGTCATATTATTGTAGCATAGCAACCCAGGTTTCAGTGTGGGTTGAGGCAAGCAATAATATATAATATTGCTGAGAGGTTAGACAGCTTAGAAGAACCTTTCAAGATGGATGTGGAAAGAGAGGTGCACTTTCTGCACAGAGGAGGGGGAGGGAAGGTAGGAGGGGGGAGGTGGGGTGGGGGAGCAGAGCAGAGTCGGAAGAAAAAAATAGCCCAATCCTCCCATCTCCATTCACTCCCCCCTTCTTCTCTCTCCCTCTCTGATACTATGTTAGTTTCCCTATCTCTATCTTTCTTTCCCTCCCTCTCCCTCCGCTCTGTGCATCATTAAAACAAGCAGAGTAGTGTTCAGAGCGTGGGGCTGAACTGAGACGGTGACCTCCACAATAAGAAGATGTTCTTGCTTCGGGGAAGAGAAGGTCGTTTTGTACTCCTCTCTCTCTCTCTCTCTCTCTCTCTCTCTCTCTCTCTCTCTTGCTTTTTTTTTTCTCCTACTACTTCCAATGGAGTAAATGAGATTTAGAGGGGGTAGGATAGTGGAGGAAGGGATCAAGAGGGTAGACATGCAGACGGAGAAAGACGGAGATAGCAAGATGCAGAGGGAGAGAGGGCAGTTTAATGTAGGATTCATAACACAGAGAACTCGAATATGATAAACAGGAAAGATCTGGATTCCCCTAAAGTAAAGTGGCTAGCAGGGCTATAGAGCGAGTCAGCCAGCGGCATGAAAAGCCTGAATATGAGTCTGCCTATTTTTCATTTGGGAGGAAGATCATTCCTGCCCTGAACTGGGGAAAATGAATGTGTTTTGTCCGTACATGCCGATGGACACGGTGAGGCCAGCCAGGAGTAGTTCTTATCAAAGAACACCACGACTTGAGGGCTGATGAGCGCGCTATCTGCAGCCTCCTCGTCCGCAGGCATCTTTTCATCATATACATACAATAGACGTTAAAGGCCCGCCACTGTCGGGAGGACAGGAAGTCCTATGGGTGACACAAGGACAGGCAGTGGTGTGAGCAGCTCCTGTGCTCCCACCCTCCACCCCCCACCCACTACACATTGCCTTCACACAGGAACAAAATGTGTGGGCAGCGAGCACAAACACATTCTCTGTGTCCTCCAGATGATTTTACATCCTCTAAATCCAATAACCTCGATTCATTCTGCTTTTCCCGGTGTCATTCCTCATTGTAATTCATTCATTTACACTTTCTTTGAGAAATCTGCCCATTCTTTGGATTCCTGTCCTCCTTTATTAATGCCATCCTTCCTTCCTTTCCTCTTGCCCCTCAATCCTTTCCTTCCCTTCTTCCTTCCTACCACCTATGGACTTGGTTCCCATACTCTTAATTTGCTCTTTCTCTCTGAGGGAGGACTCTTTATAAAAGCCTTGTCGTTTCCCAATACTGATTTGAGTATCACTAAGCTGCACCTTCACACATATTGTTGTCTCACACCTTGTGCCAAATATTCCTTTGTAAAGCCTTCCCCCATCCCCTGCCTGCACCTGGTAGAGATAGTGTTCTTTCAGCCGCAGGCTCTGCCTTCTATACAAGCAGGGCTAGGATGGCACAAGCAGCACACAGCTGTTCCCCTTGGTAAATTGATAGTGAAGGGTAGTGGATGGGGCTTTGAAAGCACCTTGTGCTATTTTTATGACAGTTGTAGATTTTTTTGCTGTTTAATTCAATGTGACCAATTACGCGGCTGCGTTTCTCAGCAGGAGCGAAGGAGGAGGGGGCTGGCAGAGCAAATTAACGCTTGACTTCAAAAAGTTTTCCTAAAGTGCGTTTACCGTCTTCATCCTTTTGTCGCGGTTCAAATGCGAGTCGTCATAAAGGGACCTGGTCTCACTTCCTGCACCGAGAGAAGATGTGCGCCTTTCTGTTCTCTGTGTCTCCAAGTACCACCTTCTCCATGGCCTCAGTGACAAATTTTCAAAGTGAAAACAGCATGCTTACTTTCATTATTGAAAAGTAAAACTTTAGTGGGGAGAAGCAGAATACAGTGAACGACTGACTGTCCCTTTGGATAAGCAGCAATTCAGCCCGAAACACTGACCCCCCACCTCCTCAAAGCAAACACACACATAAGTCCACAACACACCCATCACCTTGTGTTTGAAGGACTCTCCATGAATGTAAGTACCAAACACACACACACACACACACACACACGGGCTAAAAACCACAGTCATACAAAAATCCTGCTTTTCCCCCACACCACTCCTGTCTCTCCTGAGTGGATTGCCATGATGAGTGTTCCTGGGACTGAATACATGTGTAAGTGGCCTAATGATGCCTAAACCCATCCATAAGCAGAAAGAGGAGGAGGGGGAGACAGTGGGGGGGGGTGGGGGAGGGGGGGTGTTGAGGAGGTGGCATAAGGAGACTCTGGGGTCATGCTTGTCGTGTCAGGCGGATTGGAAGGCCACATTGGCGTGAGCGAGCACAGCTTTGAGTAAAGCAGCTTGTTTCAGGCAGGGATTGTGTTTGCAGACCATACTCGGAGAGAGTGTGTGTGTGTGTGTGTGTGTGTGAGAGAGAGAGGGAGATCTGTGCCTGGGCATTACAGACCTACAGCCTTAATCCACATGGCCTGACATTCTCCGTTATCCGGCCCTCGGCAGCCAACTACCCAGACTGATGGAGGCACGGATCTACCCCCTGCTGTGTCAGGCCACACATCACTCTCTCCACACACACACACACACACACCTACACACACACACACACACACGTATAGAAAGCTACATACACACATATGCTTTTGCTGTGCCACTTGCTCTCTTCCCCATAAATTTTTCCCACTTCCTCAAACCTACAACGATTCCTGGTCACAGATGATATATTCTTATTTCCTAAGAAACAGGCCCAGCCATCAGTTCCTCATTACTACAGACAGTCACACACCAAGTTCACTGTATGCGCTGACACATAAACACACTTACTCACACTTACTCACTCTCACTCACATCTCTCGACACTGTAGACGTTATCGTTCGTGATAACAGTGGTTAAGAATAGACAAGTTCTCCATTGTGAAAAGAAACACAGTTTTGGACACTTCTGCAGCAACTGACAACAAGAGTCGACTTGTTCGTTGGCAGTATTTGAAACTGTAAAAAGAAATACTGCTTCTGGAATCCACAATTTTGAATATTTGTACTTAAGTGTAGCCACTTTATGTTACATCTAGTCAATCGTTGAGACAACTGTGCCACCTTAAACTAGTGGCTCCCAACCTTTTTTGACTTCAAAAAAATAAACAATATTTGTCCGAAACATCTGAATAGGAAATATTTATGCAGCTAGAACCTGTGGGAAAGGCTCCCTTCTGTTTGACGGAGCTCTACGACAACCCACAACACGACATATAGCAGAGGCTGGGGTTGTGGAGCTAGTTGTGATAATCACTAGATTAACAGCGGTAAGCGTCAGTGTCTAGTGTCTGAGCTGTTCACCTGAGAAAGTTAGCGGCGCTTGTGGATGAGCCGGTCATTGTGAAGCATGCTGCAAACAAAACAACCGGTGCCAATCAGCCAATACAAGTGGGTGTCCAGTGTGCTGCTGGGCGTCATTAACGATCTCATGGCCGCTCAACTTTATTTCGAGACACTTTGGAGGTGCCTGACCTCTAGGTTGGCCCCCACTGGACTTAACAACTGTGTATATATAGAGAGAGGTATATAGATAAAGAAACCCCAAGTCCAGCAGCTACAAGGGGTCAAATGATGCTCATACATTGTTGCATGAGTATTAACAATCTAGAGCGATGTGTCGCACAATAACACATTAATCACAGGGTCCATTTCTCTGCACAGCTTGTACTTTTTGTTGATCATAGTTACTTCTGTACATTCCTAATGAGTACTTTTAGCAATATTTTTCACTGAAGTAAAAAGCTCGTAATGGTCTGAGTACTTCTTCCATTTCTGAGTATTTCATCAATCTATGCTGGTTCTAACCTCATGGGAACAGTTCTGTACTATACATATATATATATAGTAATGACAGGAACTTCCCCACTCTCCTGGCACATATGTTTGATATTTACCACCTCATGATAATTCCCCTCCAAAAAACTTCCAAAAAAAATATAAAAAAAAAAAAAAAGATATTTACCACCTCATGATAATTCCCCTCCAAAAAACTTCCAAAAAAAAACACGTATTGAGAAAAATCCATCCTTTGCAAAAACAAAAAAAAGGGTAGAGGTCAGACTGAGGTGGAATTACCCCAGACTTTTTGCAAAAAAACTGCCTTGCAGGCTGCACATCACATGGCTGATGATAGGTGTTTTCCAGCCAAACAGTGTCAAACTGAATTTTTTTTTTTTTTTTAATGTGACTGACTGGTGTTTTCTTGTTGTTGCCACAAGAGGGGGTAAGTTACAGTAATCCCCTGGTCATTATTAAGCCCTATGGCAACAGACGCACAAGACAGAAGCCCCACAGACTCATGACAACCCCACTGCTGACATCATAAAGAAGAATTGCATTATTACTATTGTAATATTATTATGAATAATAATATTAATAACAATATTATTATTAATAATAATTGATATGTTTTGGGTGTTTCTGATAAGAGTGGGACTCATCTTAGATCAAATGGATATAAGCACCGTGTGTGTTCATGTTGTCTCATTTCCTGACTCTGCCCAGAAAAGAGAGAGAGAGAGAGAGAGAGAGAGAGAGAGAGAGAGGAGATACGGGGACACGGAGACAGAGAGAGAGAGTGAGTGTGTAGGGGGGGAGAATGAGATAGAGAGAGACGGTGAGAGAGGAAGAGAGAGAGAGAGAGAGATAGACATGCACAGAGGAGGAGGAGGAGGGGGAGGCTCCTGATACCAAGACACGGAAAAGCAGGGGAGGGAAAGAGAGAAAGAAAAAAAAGAAAAAGGGGGCTGGTGGAGGAAGAGGAGCGGGGAGTTTGGAGAAAAAAAACGGGGAATAACACTTTACAGAAAGCACACAGAGGAGAGGAAGGACAGTACCCGGCGCTTTGGACGTCCCCTCCTTTCTTCTCTCAGGCTGTCACAGCGGATTGGACTCCGAAGGACCGACACCGCGTCCAGCCCAGACCCCATGGGGTAACAGGTATGTCTGACTTCCTCATATTACTAGTTAAAGCCTTTCCAGCGTGCGTTCAAGCCCCGCTTTCCTCCACCTCCTGCTAACAGGTTTGCGCTTTTTTTCTCATTCAAGACGCGACGCAATATCGCAACATAATTTCCACGGCTTTGTACCATGTCAACAATTAGTTTTTTTTTTCTGCCTCACGGAGCGTCCACAGCTGATAGTTTGGTGGGCGCGCAGGTTGTGAGACATGACACAATGCAACTCTTCGCAATCGCGGTAGTGTTTCTCGGGAAAGCTACTAATATGAAGGCCTGTCTGTCTGTCTTCTGGCTTTTTTAAAAAAATATATATATAAATATTCCGATCCATTGGCATCATGTTAGCCACGGCATGAGTGTATTTTGACAGCAACATACCCGACCGAGTGAGCAGGCGACAGTCTGAAAGTACGCCTACCTGTTCCATACGTGACAGCCAGCTGTCTATTGCGCTTGTTGATATTTGGAGAAGCTGTCATTCTTTGCCGGGATACGCACATTGCACATTCCACACGTTATGTAGCGGATTGTGGAACACAAGACAGACAGATAAATAAATAAATAAAACATATCTACTTTTATGATTTGTCTGAACATGTGTTGTAACAAATGCTTTTTGAGAAATACTTTTTAAATGATACGTTAACAGAGCGCAGGGAGAAAATCCAGTGTGCGTAATTGTCTCCAAAACAAATCCAGTGTGCGTAAATTAAAAAAAATATTTACTGAATGAATGACATCCACGAATTTGTGTACTTTTGGAAATCGCTCCTCAGGTGAATGTGACACTCGCAGACACATGCATGGCTCTCTGCTGGGTTTCCTATCAGCTGATCGAGTTTGATGAAACCGCGGATTCTGGTGAAATTCGCAAAGTTTTGAACAGCGTGACAGCGTATTGCCACACTGGCTGGGGAAGGGAAGGGAAGGTGGCGTGGTGGTGGTGTTAGGGAGGGAGGGGGGGGGGAGAAGAAATTGTCATGCACACATATCGTGCCACAGAAAATACGGGGTGATGCTCCGTGCAGCCGTCTGGAGGGGATTCAAAATGAAAGCGCACAGAGAGACTGGAAGACAAGGGCTTAAACCCTCCTCCTTCTCCCCTCGATTAACCTCCAAAAGGGGGATTTCTCCAGCTGGAAATTTCTGCTGCGTCAACACCCAACCCTTGAGTACCAGACAAGACAGAGAGAGAGAGGTGGTGGTGGTGGTGAGGGGGGGATTTTGTTTGCAGATGGTGCTCTCGGGTATTTTTTTTTTTATTTTTTATTTTTTTACATTGTTGATCATCTGATCCGTGTAGAGAGTTAAAAAGAGTGGCGTCAAGTGTGTTTTTTTCTGTTTATTGGCGACTGGAGCTGAAAGCGTCTCTCCCTCGCTGCTGCTGCTTCTCAGTCTGTCTCCTGTGCTGTGTGGATGTGTCTGCTGTCTGTGTCTGCCCTCTCAAACCGGTCAGTTCCGTCTCTTCCTCCATTTTCTGCCATGCTTACCATGTGAGAGAGGTGGGGGGAGGACAACCCCACTTCATTCACGCTCTGTGCGAGGACGCCAATGTGCGCCTGGCTGTTGCACCTCCAGTAGCTGCAGCCAGGTGAGTGCTAATGATGTGTGCCAGTGACAGACATCTTTACCTGTGTCACTCTTCATTTAGTCATTAGCCCGTTCTGCACTGAGGGGGGGTTCCAAACTTTTATTTACTAATGTGAGGCAAACTTAGGAGAGTCTTTTGTTACATCTTGTGTGTGTCATGGGTTTATGTGTATTGTGTGAATCCAATCCTACACTACAGTAGCAGAAGGATGGCAACACATGACTGGTAACACTGAAGCAAATCAAACTATGCTTTGCAGGAAATCCTCAGACACCTTCAGTCATATATATCTATATAGATATGTGACACACACACACACAGACCTAACAACTTCACATTTTTCCAAGTTTGAAGTGCGCCTTCCTGGCTCACGGCTGCAACTACTTACAACCCGTTAGATCTAGGCCTTTTCCTCTGTTTGACAGCGACTAACTGGATCTGTGGGATTAAGAGACCATCAAGCCATTTTTCCAAATTGTCTTAGGCCTCCCTGGATTTGTCTGGTTGTTTTGTCCTTCCAACTGCTGAGTTAAGGTTTGGCTCTTGATATGATAAACCCTCCAAAGTCTTTTATTCAGTAATACAATTACTGCACCGCATGTCTGTGTGCGTCTGTGCATGCACATGTGTCCGTTTCGACACATTTTGAGTGAGGAGGAGAAAGCTCCGACAATTAAAACGAATGAACTTGCCATCCACGCTGTCACCTAAGCATCTTCCAGAATGCTTTGTGTTTCCTAGGTTTGCCCCCCTCTTTGCTTTTCCACTGAGGTTGCTTCCCTAAGGTGGGGCTGTGTGGTGTAATCATTGCAAGAACACTGGACTTGAGTGTGTGTGCATGTGTGTGTGTGTGTGTGTGTGCACCTCCATCTGTGTGTTCCACGGGGAAAATATAATACAGACCAAGACAACAGCTACAAGGATGAGTGGAGGAGGAGTGTAGGCGAGATCGGCCAAAAGATGGAAAAAATATTAGCAGCGCGTGTGCTTGTGGGATTGCAAAGCAGGATTTCAAGCACTTTCCACTTGCACTATCTCTCATGAATGGGCCTTTTGAAGTTGATTAAACAAGATAAGTGAGTTAAATTTACTTTCCTGTCTTTTCCCTACATGAAGTCGATGTTTGTAGAAGGTGGCTACGCCGTTTGGACATTTGTGGGGAAACAGCGAAGGTGTGGCGGGGTGTGAAAAGAGGGTGAGAAAATGAGTCGGAGGAGGAGGAGGCTTGGTTTGGGTGGCTGTCAGGTTCGAAGCTCGACACTTTGGCTCTTTGCTGTTTGTGTGTGTGTTTGTGAGCCTGCAGTTGTGTAGGTGGTGCTCAGTGCTCCCGCGCAAGTTGTGGGCTGAACTGTGTGGTAGCAGGTTAGTCGGCTTTAGCTGTGCGAACCCCGGGGATGTAACATAGCACACCAACACAACAATATGCATGTGTGTGTTTATGTAGACAACATGACCGCGCTCTCTACTGTATCTAATTTAATGCAAAATTTCCAGAAACAGAGAGGGCAAATCCTCCATAAAGACACATTTGTTCCCCGTTAGCCACCTTGTGCTCCATTCATCTCTCCGTCTCGGTCTCCCTCTGCCAGTTTTCTCATCCCGATCGCCCCTCGGAGCTCACTTGTTAATGGGAACACCTGTTTGGCTAACAAACTGCAAAATGAACCATTTACACTCGTGTACATATCTTACACGACACCTCGGATCTCTCTGGAGTTTTCTGACAACTCAGTTTTCTATCTGTTACATATCATTCTCACATCTATTTCATTTCGAGACACGTATTAACCCCTCAGCTCTGAAGTTCCATCCCCCATCCCCTAATAACTCCCAAGGCCCTTTAGCTTAGCTGCTTCTATAGCTCATTGTGTGGCGCTGAATACAGGTGTTCCTAATCCCTGCGGGGTTACGCGGATGCTGTGGGGGATGTGTGTGTAACAGCTGGCTTCCCTATCCACCTATCTACCATGCTCATCCTCCCCCCCCCCAGCAGAGAAAACAGGTGAGTTTAAGCCATCCTCACCCCCAGACCACACACACAAAGAGAACTGCTCTCCACCACCTCACTTTTCTTTTCACGTAGATGTTAATATTTCATAGCTGTGTGTGTGTGTGTGCGTGTTCACGCATGTATCCACCTACGATTGGATGTCAATGAAAACAATAATCTCCCTTGTTCTTTCCTTTTGTTCTCTTGTCCCTGAATTTCAAATTGGAGGGTAATTTGCAGTTTTAATCGACACGTAAGAATCAGAAGTCCAGAGTTAAAAAAAATAAAAAATAAAAAAATTATAATTTGACTGTTGTTAAAATTAAATGCAAGTCCCTTTTTTAGTGAGACATTTTCTGACCGGTTGTTTGATATCGCAAAACTCCTTATGGGTCACACATTCCTGAGAAAGCAGATGAAGGATTTCACTTTGTGTGCTTTCACCAGGGTGTGTTTTTCTTTTATTTAGGAATGCAGAGCAGACTGGCTCTTTCCAACCATCAGCACACAATGCTTATCTGCATCATGGGTAATTTTCTGGAATTTACAGCATCTTTTTTTTTTTTTTTAACATCAGTTATCAATTGCATCAATGCCCACAGTCCGGCCCAGCCTTGAAAACTAATCAGCCCTCCACCCCCCCTTCTTTTTTTGTTCCTGCTAAACACATTCCTAATTGTTGGTTTTAATATTCTGTATGATTTCACTTGTTCTGATGCTGTCAAAACAAATTGCAATAAGTGAAGTGTTGATGGGGCTTGTTTTACACGTCAGGTAATGCAAGCCCGCTAGATAACATGCACATATTATATTTTCAATTAGCCTTCTGTCTGTTGTTAATGAAAAAAAAAAATACAAAGGAAGACATAAATTATATATATTATGTTATCCCTTCAGCTCCCTTTCTGATGCTATATGCGTGAAGCAGTCACTAACGGCGTCCTTCATCTTTTTAAACCTTTAATTAAGCTTTAAATCAACTTCGGTTTTTATGACTTTCTAACTGAAACCCTTCAATGTCTGCAGGAGCCGTGAAGAAAGGTCAGTGTTAAAGTTAAAAAAATCTTGTATCACATTGATGTGCGCAAGACCACCTTCTGAAACCCGAGTCACTGATAACACCGCTCTCTAGTAATGAGCTGACAAGGGACTGATTATTGTTGTTAACATGATTTGTATTCTTTTACAAGAACATTTCATCTTCCCAAACACCTTCGTACTTATTCCCAAATTATTCACTTATTTGTAAATGTTTCGCAAGTTGTTTCGCTTGTCCTTGGATGGTTCCAGTTGTCACTTTATTTGGCTCGCTGTTGTCGACGTGCTGGTTGGGAATCCTTAATGCAGTATAAATACCTGGCATGGCAGGACTGGTAAACCAGTGGGAAAGAGCTGTCTA